ATGAAGTTATAAAAGATTCTGGTGTTCGGCATTTTAAAATGAGGCCCTTGACCTTATTAACGGGTGACCGCATTAATGGGGTTTTTTATTATAAGAAAATGTATGGCTTTTTTGCCAGGCCGAAAAAAAGTGGCCACAATAACAAGGTGACCGTATTACCGAGGTGGCCGTAAGGCGGGCTTCATAATGTAACCCCCGAAATAGCATGTAAATTATGCTTTTTCAATTGATTTTCTTTTCATTTTCTTTAACGGCAAAAATCTCATTCCTCTTGAAATCATAGCTAGTGCTGGGGCACAAAAAAAAGGAGTGGGGTTCCAGAACCCCTGGAACTCTCCCCTGGCAACGCCACTGCTTCATGGGGTCATTGACCTGATTCACTCAGTTTCCTAACCCTACAGTACTTATGAGACTCATTCCGCGTTCTGCGGCCATTCGGCGTCATCTAAGATACAGTCTTAAACTGCCCTTCAGGCAAACAAAGCAGCTGATAAAAGTGAAAGATAGCAACAACCGGTATTCAGTACTGTACACACGTCTTAGCGCAGTTAAGCTATGGTACTACAGTATAGCTACTCACAACTCCGCGAAGAACGTGGTCGCCAGGACGATGTTCACAAACACCCAGGTAAAAGCTGCATGGGATCTCCTTGTCAACTGCTTTCGTCGGAAGGAGTTTTCAACCACAGGGCTTTCACTTTTAACTACTCTTCTCTGCATTTTGCTGGTCGTTACACTGGTAGTATGTGATTCAAGACAACAACCACAGGACAGATCATGACCACTTATTTAAAGACCTAGTACCCAGTTTTAAATCGAGCGCCTGTGGAGCCTCGATTCTGTGAGTTAGAAAGCGGGGTCGGGGGGCAAACCTCATTTTTTTTCCACTTCTAATTATTTCTTCCGACGCACGTTTGATTTGAATTTTTGGACAGAAATCTTACACTTCTGTTCATCGTCAACTTAAACTGCAAAAATAATACAACAGCAAAATAATAAGAAGCCTACAAGCAAGCTCCACTCACTTGGAGAGTTCTGGGAAAATTTAGACAGCGGAGCAGACAGCCCCCAAGGGGTTACTCAACCAATATTCGGTGACCCGCTGAGAATTGGAAACCATGACACTGTTTAAAACAAAAGAATTCCCTAAACTTTTTCAACCTGTTTAGGACAACACCGATAATAAGAGGTGAAATGACAAAATAAACACAGTCTTAATTTTAAGTCATTTCTCATTTTTCGAGACAACCGGGACAACTTGGAAGACCGGGGTGATTGAAATGACTGGGGTGACCAGGGCCACCAGAACGACAGGGACATCTGGGACAACCGGACAAACCAGACAACCAGGACAACAGAGAAAACCGAATATGACCATAGAAAACCGGACAGCCATGACTACGTTTACAAAATTTCAAATTTTTGACCAAAACCATGGACTAACCCCTTTGCAAAAATGCCAATTTTGTGGGTTTTTGAAACCGATGTTTTTGTTGTTCAGAAAGGCTTGTTTGCTATGTAAAAAGTCGAAAAGCGTTTTTTCACGATTTATTTTCACGATCTATGACATGGGAATACATGGGGTTACAAGGGGTTACAGGGGGTTACAAGGGGTTACAAGGGGTTACAAGTGGTTACAGGGGGTTACAAGGGGTTACAAGGGGTGACAGGGGGTGACAAGGGGTTACAGGGGGTAACAAAGGATTATAGAAACTTTTTCCTAACTAGAACGTTCCCAGATACTTTTTCTTGGTCTGTTTTGCATAAAAATCAAAGTTGAAGAAATCTCCAATTTTTGACCAAAACGATGGACTAACCCCTTTGGAAAAATTCTAATTTTGCGTTTTTCGTACACAGTTGTTTTTATAGTCTTTAAAACATTTTGACAAATGGGGCAGGACAACAGGCCGGGACAAAAGGGACAACCAGGACAGCTGGGACAACAAGGACAACAGGGACAACAAAAACAACAGCGACAAAAACGACAGCAGGCACAACAGGAACAACAGGGACAACGACAACAGGAAAAACAAGGACATTAGGGAGAACAGGGACAACAAGAAGGGATAACAGAGACAACAAGGACATCCAAGACAACCAGAACAACCAGGACAACTGAGATAACTGGAAACCACCAGGGCACCAGGGTCAACTGGGATGACTGGGACCCGGGGGGGGCACTTTAGGAATTTCTGGGTGGGGATGTGCCGCTGGGAGCCAGGAACCCTTATCCTTTACCAGAGCTAGTTCAGCTGAATTTTGCTACCCTATACTAGAGTAAACTCCCCAAATCCCCCTATCCTAGAGTAGCTGTGTACCTAGTCTAGATAAAATCTTCAACCAACTGATCAGTTTCCTGAAAAATGATACCCTATTCTAGAGCCAAACGCTCTGATTTATATACCCTATCCTAGAGTAAACTGCTTGAAAACCATACCCTTCACAGCGGCACATACCTATATAGCCCATATATGGCAGTACCCCCCCCCCCCGGGGACTGGGACAACCGGGACAGCAGGGACAATCGGGACAACCAGGATAACTTGGAAAACAGGCTACTTGGACAACTGGGAAAACCAGGACAACAGGGAAAAATGGGAAAACCAGGACAACAGGGAAAAATGGGAAAACTAGGACAACAGGGAAAAATGGGAAAACCAGGACAACAGGGAAAAATGGGAAAACCAGGACAACAGGGAAAAATGGGAAAACTAGGACAACAGGGAAAAATGGGAAAACCAGGACAACAGGGAAAAATGGGAAAACCAGGACAACAGGGAAAAAAGGGAAAACTAGGACAACTGAGACAACCCTAAATGACCGGGACAACCAGGACAACTGGGGCAACCGTGAAAACTGCAACAACTGAGATAACTGGAAACGACTGGAGCAACCCAGACAAAAGGGCCAACCAGAACAATGATTGTCCTGGTTGGCCAATTTTTGGGATGACTGGGATGATTAGGATAAATGGGACGACTAGGATTACTACAGTGAAACCTTTATTAAGCGGGCACTGTATTAAGCAGACACCCTCCATTAAGCGGACAGTAGCCCAAGTCCCCAAATTTATTTCCCTTATTTACTTCAAATGAAACCTTTATTAGGCGGACACCTCTATTAAACGGATGTGGCCACCTAAAAAGGACCTGAAATGGTCATTTCTATTGTTGCCAACCTGTATTAAACGGACACTTGTACTTAAATTCCACCATCCACCATGCCAGACATCGGAAATGTGAAAGATTGCGTCAAATTGCCACCCACAAATTGTTCGATTTTTACATTAAAAAACGTGACTTGACGAACTTATTTGATTAGTTTTACAGTACAGTGTTGTTTCCTATTTTGTTTTGTTTGTATAGAGCTTGTTTCAATCCATGTTTATGGTAATATGATCAATTGGTCCACTTTAAAAAAAAAATTAATGCAAACATATATTGTCATAGTCTCTGGCAGTATTCTAAATGTTTCCACTCTTCATTTGAATGGCCATTTGACACCTCATATGACGTTATCTATCGAAACCTGTATTAGGGGGACACCCTGTATTAGGCGGACACTACAGCATTCCCCGAGGGTGTCCGCTTAATACAGATTTCACTGTACTAGGATGACTGGAATGTGTACGATGACTGTGATGACCTAGATGACTGGCATGCACTGCAGACACTCTAAACCTTGTCTCAACTCTAACCTTCTATACAGACGGTCCATACAAATGGTTTAGACGATGAGTGGGCCGGCTGGATTACTGGAATGACTAGGAGGACTAAGTTGACTGGGATGACTACTAGTATGACTGGAATGAGTACAAAGACAGTGATGAGTACGATGACTTGAATGTCCGGAGTCCTTTGTCTGATTTCATCGAGTTCATGTGACATGGTCGCTCAATTGACGGCTTCGCAACTCAAGAGTTTGCTCTACTTGCAACAAACTCAAGGGGTCGAATTGTGGCTAGTCTAGGAAGACTGGGGTCAGTTGGCTGAATGGTATTGGTGGGATGAGTAATTTGGATGGCAAGTACCTTGCGGTAACAGGAGGCTCAAGCAAGAATTTAATTTCTCGTTAAACAGCTGAAGGCGTTTTGTTGTTTAAAGAAATTACATCTGTAAACAGCGGACCGAGTCCTCCATGATCAATTTAGTTTGCAGGAAAGGGCTATTAGCATCTCTGTAATTATTTTAACTTACTCAATTTGTAGTGAATGCATTCCAGAGACTTGATGTACAACTCCTCAAATTAATAGGACTTGGCTCAGAGACTATACTGATTTGGAATGAATAACTTGGTTTTTTTTTAGCTGACTTGAGAGCAATTAGGGTTAAAAGAAGGTAAGGGATTTTACGACCAATATACAGAATAATGTGAAGACACTTTTATTTTTGTTCAAAGCAGCACTTTCTTGTACCGCTTCACTGTGTACAAACATCACATTGACATCATACACTTTGGTTTTGGTCAGAGTCCACACTGTCCAAGCACGCAACAAAGAAGTGTGGACAACAAGAGTTGATATAGAATGCAGCTTTAGCGAAAGTTATGATTAAGCAATGCAAGGTGCTCCTTGAAATGAGAGGTCACAAGGCCTATGTCTCCATTAAGCTGCCAAATGCTTGGCTAACTACCTTATTGACAGGGCAATCAAGTGATCACTATCCTTAAAAAAGAAATTGTTAACCCTTTAAACCCTAGTATCAAAATTCAAATTCTCATTTGTTTTCCCTATATGTTTTCAATAAAAGTAGTAAGGAGAACTTGTTGAAGTATCAATTAGATTCATCTTGTGTGACCATGTCCTCAATTCTCATGACCACTGTGTTTTATAGAGCAGTGATATTACAAGGAGAAATTTGACACTGATCACTCCTAGGGCTTAAAGGGTTAACTGAAAATGAAGTGTTATGCTCACAACGCGGTAAACCTGTAACAGCCCCTAACACTACAAAAAGTGAAAGCCAGAATTTACAAGTAAATTAATCTTGGACCAAAAATTCAATCATTATTACAGAAAAATTAATGTGTGTTTTAGTTCAAAAAACAAAACAAAGAAATTCAAACTTATTTCCAATGACAGGCAGGCACGGATCTAGAATAAATACTGATCCATTTCCAAAACGAGAGCAAACGGCGAGAGCTTCTTGCTAAGTCTGGGGGCATGCTCCCTCAGGAAACGTTTTGGCTTTTAACTCCCCCATTCAGACAGGATAATTACCGACTGTCCAAACCATTTTCCAGATTTCAATTTGGAACGTTTTTGTTAATCAAAAATATATTGGTTATCAGAAATCAGACCAATTTCCGTGAAACTGAAACTGGTGTGGATCCGTGCCTGACAGGCAATTGAAAACTGCAATTCACCACTTAGAAAACGAAAAGGGAACTGGAGCCGAAATGTGCTCTGCAATTGCCTCTGGGATCATTACTGCCCCATTCCTAGACACAGTCTCACAAGTCTTTGAGAAAGTTTACTCGGTCAAGTTTCCTTCTCATACCATGGCAGGAAACATTCAATCCTTTAAAACTTAGGTGTACAAACATGTATCTAAAGAAATTCAATATGACAGACAGTCATTAACCCTTTCATTGCCAGAGTGAACGTTGGAGTCCCTTAAGGTAGTCTTAACTTTTGAGTCTGTGGACAAAATCATAGGATGTGGCCATTCATATGAAACCTCTCTGCCTGTACTTTCAAATGGCACTATTTGTTTTCAAAATTTTACAAAACGAAATTTGGGAATTTTTGTTGAATTTTGCCCCTTGAGCACACTTGGCACTGAAAGGGTTAAGCCACCCTTTTTAATTCAAACTCAAACCAACAGTTGTTGTTCAAGAAAGGAAATGGTCAAGATTTTTTAATGGGTACTGCCATTTTGGGGGAGTTACCTTCTCAGAAAGATTTAGACTTCATTATTTTTCTCTAAGGCAGTGCAAAAGAAACCATATCCAAGGTAGGTTTACAAATAACAATCAATATACTTCCACTCATTTGGAAATCACTTTTGCCCTGTAAATAAGGTCAGAATAACTCAGTGGCAATATCATTTCAAGCCCTATTTCAAGGAATGACCTCTGGGCGCAATTAGTATACAAGCAAAGTGAAAGGCACACATCCTCTTTCACTTTCAGCATCTCTATACCATCTCAAGCTAGTGACACACCAATCAACATTTTTGATCAACAAGCGTTAATTTAGCAAAATAAAAGGTACAGATGTATTAAACATGTTAAATACTTTGAAAGAGAACACAAATTGCAACGAGGGCTGTAACATTTGTTGATCAACTAAACAATGTTGAATCGTCTGGCATTAGCTTAAAAAACACAAGTTTTACGTCTCACAAAGCTGCCTTTGACTACAGTGTTATAAATGGTTATAATCACTTATATGTTCAAAGAAATGCTTTTCGATAGTTCATACACTATACAAGTTCACTCAAATACACTGGTTGAACTAAAGATATTTTCACTCAACAGAAACCAAACAATACAAAGGGAAGTCAAATGATTCGGCAGGTTCTCTCCTGTCAAACAAATGCAGCTACAAAGAAAAATGCTCCAAGGATACATTGTAATTACGTCAAGTAGGCCTTTTCACAGGAATGGTTTTCGTGGCATCTTTCCCTTGACAATGTAGCATCAATGTAGCTCCATATATAACAACAATAAGCTGATATCCTTGGACAACATTGGTAGATAATGGTAATTTATAAATAACAAATCCAAGGACATAGAAACAGGATAGTTGTGATGTATTAATTCACCACAGGTCCTTTGCACTGTTCTCAGACATTTGGGATTGGATAAACTGCCATGATTTCATCTCAAAAAGGTGTAACTATTTCAAAACTCAACCAGTGATCATCCAATGCTTCGCATAAAATAATACTTGTACCATTCATCTTCCTTTTCTCTTGCTCAGTCATCAAGTTCTCTTACAGTAAGTGGCTTCGCAAATCGGAAACAGTTACAGATAATATAAGCAAGATCACATAAATGCAGAAAGAAGTTATTGCAAGATTTGTATGCTGGCCTTCCCACTTTAATCAAGCTCTTGGACAGAGGTGGTTGTCTGGGTGTTAAGTTTTCCACAAATATTGCTAACCATGTTTTCAACATGAAATACAACTATTGACTTTCTAGGTTAGAAAGAGGCCCAAAACTGCACAATGTGTGTGTGAACAATACTTGGGGTAGTGAATGTCACTGCTTCCTCCACAATTGTAGCAGAAGGAAGTAGGCTTTGAAAAACTATAGTCAGGTGCGCATGTTTACAAGGACACATGCATGTCTTGTATCTACACTACGACCACCAATTACTTTTCTTCCTCCTAAATGTTTGTACACTTCTTTGTTGATTCAAAAGTATTCCTACCTCCCCAAAAAAGTGTATGAGTTATACGAATGGAATTGGTGTCTTTTTTCACATCAACAAAGGCAAGACCACTGATAAAGGAACAAAGATGGGAATAAAGAATCCCTTAAAGTAACAATTTCTTTGATAAACCAATTTGGTAACCTAAAGATGAAATAGGAACAGTTGCTGCATTGACATAAATGAACCCACAATTACACTTAAAGGAGATAACAGGTCCAAACAAAGGGGGGGGGGGGAGAATAGAACTTTTAATTCTGGCCCCAGTGCAGATACACAAATGGTAAGGAAGGAAGGTGCACAAAAGAGATGGCAGGAAATATTAGTTTCACTTGTTTAAGGCCAGCAGAGTTAAGCCAGCAGCACAAATACTTCCCACTGTGAATAAGCTTTTCCACATTGTCTGTGATTGCGAAGATTCCGAAAAGTGGGCAACAAACCCATCCTGTCAAAAACGAAACAAAGCAATGCTTGTTAACTACATTAAAAAGCCATACATAATGTTTAAAGTCGTTTATAAAATGATTCATTAGTTTTCAGAGGATGAAAATGGGCCATATAGATTGGCCTTGTGATACTGTACTATAAAGGATTAAAATTGTAGTTGGATTAGATGAGTTACAAACTTCAAAGTACAGTCAACTTCTGTTAACTTGAGCCCTCACAAACTCACAGCATGTGCTAACTTAAACCAAAATCAATTTTCCCTGGGTTTCAGTATTTAGTGTAATTTTACCCTTGGTAACTCAAACCTTCGACAACAAGAACCCCCCACTACATGTATCTCAAAGCTTTTTTCATTTCACCACCAATAATTTTCTGTATACTGTGGAAGCCTGTTAATACAGTCACCAGTGGGTAAAAAAAATGGCCGTATTAACGAGGCAGATGTATTACTGGGGCAGCGTCAAAATTCATGAATTAAGGGCTGTTATGACAAATGCAACATACATTGCTTTCGCACTTGGTGAACTGTTTTCCTAAATAAACAACTGGAATGTCGATATCGCGTACAGTAAGTGTATAAACTACTTGAAACTTTCCTTCAGTAAAAAAAAAAAAACCTTTTAAAATCCAGCTATTAAACCATCATAAATGTCTTTTGAGCGTACTGTAGTCTAAAAACAATACAAGAACAGGCTCAGCTTACTAGGTCAATGAAATCGAAATGTCACAGGCCTTTTAATTTTCTAAATTCTGAACAAGTGGCCTTAGGGTGCATTCCTTTAAGACGATCAGGATCAGGATCAGTGATCTAAGATCACTCAGATCATGGTAAATCAAATGAACCAATGAATCCACTCTGGACAAGGGTTCATTAATTTTGATCTACCATGATCTGAGTGATCTCGGATCACTGATCCTGATCCAGACCATCCCAGGATGCTGAAACGATAATGAAAATGCTTGAAAAAAAAACACTTCACGAGCGATGTTTTGGTTGGAGCCAACATCATTGCCTAGACTCTAACTACCATGTTGATGTGTTGAATCACTAAGTGGGTAAAACCCTCCTTGACACCTTAGGGTGTTAAAGCTGTCATGTCTTTCACACTTAAGGATTATCTGAATTTTGGCAGTTTCCAGGATTAGTTAAACTCAACAAATCATAACAGAGATTCAAGAAACACAATTTGTAAAATTACCTTGCCCCGACTTAGTGTACTTAAGGAATGTTGAACATTTTCATATTGTTTACATATTTATAAGCCTAATCATTTTCAAGGAAAATCAAATGAAGAGAGGCAAAAAACATAAACAAATTATTTAGCCCTCTATAATTTCGAAGTGCCATTTAAGAGCCGATACTACAAGATTGTATATCGTTACGTAACTAAAACCTGAATTCTGAAGCCTGATCAAATATTTATGAATGATAATCAATCCTACAGGCAATCTACCCGAAAAATCCACACTTGACAACCGGAAATAAAAAAAAATCCATGGTTTTTCACGTTTATAGCCACATAAACAACAATGCGCTTGTGCATTTTCATTCAGGACATGAAGCAGTTTTAGCTTCCTAGTTAAAGCAACCACAGAAAATTATTTACAAAGAGAAAAAAACAGCAAGGTATAAAAAGTATCCTGCTGATAGAACGAAATTTTCATTTTACATGTTTACACTTCTAACACCCACCAAAAATGCCTCACGATTAAATAATATTTCTTGAATTTGCATCAAAATGAAAGAGTACCCTACTTTCGAGACAGGAAAACAAACGAAATATCGACGAGATAAATGAATGTGACTCACAAACCAATGTAAATACAGACTGAAATTTGCATTCAGCAAATTACTACGACACGTACAGCTGGTAGGCAAGATAAAGAGAAAAATAACCAAAAAACATTTAAAATAATATCAAAAATACCAAACCAGTACAATTTTGTAAAAAAACTCAAGGATTAAACTCACCCAGCCACCGTTTTCCCTGATCCACGTTAGTAAATTGTCAGCGATAAATGACACAATCCATTCGAGGATGTGTTGGACCATTTCTGGTCGTTGCGTCTCTACGAAGTGATGAGCCACTACGCCTCCGAACGTGAACAACGACACTATTCTTCCCCAATTGGTTCCGGCTTGAAAAATCTCTTGCGCGACTCCAACAAACGTAGGATGAGCTGAAACTGGTGTTATTCCTAACGTAGTACACAATGATTCGAATAAGTCGGGGTGTTCTGCCTCCATAATAGTGGCCAGTTTTCGTAGAGTACTTGACGATGTGCTCGTCGGTGTCTGAGGAATAAGAAACTGTCGAGGTAAACCACCAAGTTTGCTTTGCTCAAATTTGTTTCTTAGTCGGTAGGAAATATAGTCCAGGCCGAGTGCAAATGAGTCCTCGATGATTTCTTTGTCATATCTTGACATTTGGGAGGTATTAAGAGTAGGAGAAAGATCTTCGTTGTTCACAGCAGCTGTCGCTCCGGCCATATTGGGTTCCTCGCGTTGAAAGTGAAAGTGTTCGCACTAATTCTTGTATGGCTCGGAAGACTTTTCTCCGTCTCAGAGAAAGAAAAAGTCGATGAAAGATAAATGTAGTTACCCTAAGAAAGAAAAAGTCAATTAGAAAACCAAGTATCGTTGGTGGTCGCGTATATTTTCCCGCTGACGCAAAAACACACACGATCACTAAGCAAGTAGTGAAACACGCTCGAGTGCCTCCGTTTACCCGTTAAAAAACGAAAACTATATTACTCACAGAAGTTAACCAATGTTGAAAACACTTCGCATGGTACTCGAAACAGCAGGTTGAAGAGCAAAAAGCATTAGAGAGAGAAAGTAGAAGCAAGCCTTGGCGCAGAAGCACTAAAAAAAATTGTCACCGTCAAACGAGCCTTGGAGTGGCGAAGAAAAAAGTAGCAAAGAGATTCCTTTGGCATGCCGCGCCGTGATCTGATTGGTCAAAATGAAACCTTCTTAATTTTGATTGGTCTATACTAATGACCTCCCAAAATCCAGCCTAGTCATCTCGAGATTATTTTTCAACAGAAAGTGAGGTCACTCGCGGATATAACATGTGTCGGAAAACAGAATAACAATTAGGGGGAAATTAGCTGCCTTGTCATTTCTTTCTAGCCAGAAAAACATATATCCAAAGAAATAAATTGAGATATCTTTAAATTTATGTCCTGAGATTTGCAAACTTCTCGAAAATACGAGGGACGAGACATTTTTAAAAAAAGTAAACATTACAACTGCGATCTGAGTATTTCAGAGCAAATCGCTCTTCTGGCATTGCATGGCTAATGGTCTTTAAAAAGTGAAAAAAAAATAGAGTAACATTAGCCGGCAACATAAGAAGATAAAAATCAGGAAATTTGGTAGAAATGTCAAGCTCAATGTGTTGACGAAATTTATGCAAATTCTAGTGAAGATTTCGTTACCACATTAATAATTAATGCAGATGAAAAATCAGCGTGGAAATGGTGTGCTTTCTTGTTTTGAAATTTCAGGTCCAAAGATTGTGCACGTGGGCATCAAAATACTTGTCAAAATGGCGCTTTGGATTGGACAAAAAGACAATGAAAATCATAACACGCGCAAATCATTGTTTTCTAGACAATAGCCATTATCATTTGAACCAATCATAACAGGAAAAATATTGCTAACGTCTACACTAGTGTCTTCGATTTGGCAGGGCATCAAAATCGGTGAATATATTTATACGCAGTTAAATATTTTTTTTCGCGGGAACTTTTTTTATGCATCTTGTTATTTAAGCGACAAAAGAAACCATCCCGAAGAGAGTGAACAGCTATTCTCGGCTTCGCAATGAACTCAATCCTTCCTTAGTGGAAGGCTGACAGTTTTTTCGAGCAAGAATCAGGGAGTGCTAGTTATTTCGACCATTTTCTTTGTCGGCAGCCCTGTGCGGCGAAACTTTAAGCAACAAGTTGTTGACAAAGTGGGGCTCTTCGAAGCTAAAAAATTTTATCCTGGTAAGTGGCACATCCTAATTTTTCACTGCCAGAAACTTAAGACTATCTAGTTAAAATTTTGGGTTACAACGACACCCAGCTTTGCTGCGGACGTATCTACTTTCAAAAATTTATTTTGATATCGATTGCTCGGATCGGAAATGAAGCTGATGTCTATTTCTTTCGCTTAAAAATATATATAAACAAAGTTAGTCATCTGGTTGTTGGCCCGAGTAATGAACAGGACGTTAATTCACGTTCGTTTCGCTGATAAAATGGCTTCAAATGGCCAAGTGGTAGGACTTTTTGACCGAGATAACTTCGAATTAAACCCATTCTAAAGGTTATTTTGATCTGTTTCATGTTTATAGAGGGAACGCTCTAAGATGGATTGCGACAAGGATAAGTCAGCTGATAATGACACTGAGAAAAAAGAGGCCTGCTCTTCATGTGAATTAAGCCAGGAAACTAAAGAGTTGTGCGGACAAATAGGACGATGTTTGGCACGAATCGGAGATACATTAAATAGCCAGTTACGACTGACAAGAAATGGACACAACCTTCGACAAAACTGTCGAGATCGCGAAAGACTGAACGATGATGAAACGAGACTGCGGACGGGGATAAATAAACTTCCGTAATCACCGGAAGGTTTTTAACAATCGATTTGCGGTACTCGAATGAATCTATTCCAAACACTAAAGGAATTATACGTGTAAATCCAGACGGAGTTTAATGTACTTTTTTTTTTAGATGATTTAATATTCCATGACATTATTAGCTACAAGCTTTGTACATTTCGCGACGTCGATGTTAAACGGAGGAGAGAGAGATACAGAATTACGGATTGTTTTATATAAAGAATATCCAGCCTAGGCATCATGTAAATATTTTTTTGACAACAGTAGCAGCATAACAAATAAAATCAGCTGATGTAAAGCAATATTTTGGTACTTAGTTACCATGGTTGCTCATTGTTCTTCTTCCAGAGAAAATTACCACAATGGTGCTGAAGTCGGAAAAACAATGTAAAAAGTGGAACAATAGTTCATTGTGCTGTGTGCAAAATGAATGACTTCTTTGTTTATAATGACAACTTATATGTACCACAAGATAAACGCTTTCAGGGCGATTCGAACAGTTTTTTTTTTCACATTCATTTTTTAAAGTGTAGGGGAAAACCCTGGAGACAGCCTCAATAAAAACTCTCCTGCTATCACCGCCATGACCTTGAATAATGAACCTTTGAAGTGGACTACGCGGAATGATTTCGCCTTTTCTTTCAATACACTATGACAAATTTGATTAAAAATGTTTTGACGAGCAAAGTAGAACAGGGAAACCTTTGTTCTCTATATGCTCCGTTCAGACAAGCCTTGTGCCGCGAACAACGTATTGTATAACATACCCTGCGGCTTTATCAGCATTGTGCTAATTTTTGGAGGCATCAGTTTCCTCATGTATTATTATTATTATTAGTTTATGAAATCTAAACTTACGCCAAAGGTCTGTTTGGCAACTTGAAAACTTCTCAAAGAAATATTTGCCTCAAATTAGCTTTAATCAGGTCGGTTTGCTATAAACTGTTACATAATATCGCCCAAAGAATTTTAAAATCCACCTTGCAAAAACTGACCCTCTTCTAATATCAAAGCTCTTCATTGCGATGATTCCAACCCATTCATGATGAACTCGTGATTATTAAACACAGTATCTGTATCAATATCACGAGTTGTTTTTGTGTTCACGAGCTGAGACGGTAATAAAGGGAAATACTGAAATAAACAAACTGTGACTCCAGATCTAAACAGTTAGCCTTTCTTTTTAGACTATTACTGTTTAACAGCGATCTCATTTCAGTGAAAACTAAACACGAACAGCGTCATTTGGAAAAGAATTAGGATTTGCTGCATGTTGATAAACAATCTAAAATCAAGACAATGACTTTGCACTCAAGTGACGCACACATGCAATATCCGTTAAACAACTCACAAAAATACTGTAAGCCGTGCACCCAAAATTATCAGATCTTGAGCCTGCGAACCCACGAAATTTTCACTTTTGAGATTTGGCAACAGGTCACCCCTTTCGCTTCGAATACGTTTGAACAGTGTAAACATGTTGGCTCGCAGAATAGGGTCAAGATATTCGTTTTCAAAAAGAAGGAGAGTTTCACAACAGAGAAAAATAAAGTAACAAAATAAAAAATATGCGCTGATTGGCGTTCACCTCTCGCGAGGCTCTGGTTCGTGAAAGGAAAGTTTCATATGAATAGATTTTGGTTAAAGAAGCGAAAATTAAAAGAATTGTAAACTGTATTTATAAAGATAAAGTACCTTCAAGTAGAGCAGTTTTAAACAGGCCGAGTATTGATTACCTGCACTGAACAATTAATGTGAAACGCCAAACTTACAAATGCAAAATCAGGTAGCTAGCTTGCTCTGAGGGGACGACTGAGGAGGGTCATTAGTTGTTACTGAACCGCTCCAGAACTAGAGCCCGCTAAAGATGATCAAGGCATGCTCAAGAAAGATCAGTTCTTTCTGTAAAGCTGTTATGAGAAATCAAAAAATATTGCTGCAAAATAGGCCGTGGTGTTGCCTAAATGAGATAAAATTGCACCCAGTCTTAAATGAGAAGTAATAAATATAATGATACGATAATTAACATTTATATGGCGCTGTTTTCTACTAATTGTTCAAAGCGCTCAAAGGCGGCATCAATAATCTATTTATGTTTTGAACAATGAACGTCTTCCGGCTAATCTTTTTTTTGTTATAAGTCTTCTGACCAAGTTTTCGGAGAGAAAATAAAAGAACGTCTTTAAAAGCTGCCTCAGTTAAACCTTTCTTCTCGTGGATATCAGACCAAACTTAAAGGAGCTTAAAACAGCGACGGCAATGGTGGTAAAAACGTCACCGAAAAAGTGAATTCTGGCTGTTTCAAACTTCATCGCCTTGATTCCAACTCTTTTAATGCGTCAAATGTTGTGATTCTTTCAGGAGTTGAATCCCGAAGGACTGTATCTAAGTTCACAAAACGAAAAGGAAAATCGTTGCTTTATGTGTTCACGTCCTCCATAAAACGTGAAATTAAGAAGTTTCGGCAAAAAAATGTGCAAAAAAACGTGACGCAGGTGCAAAGTTGCTGTTTTGTCAATTTACTCTATTGCTTGGTTTTGCCCTTCTCTTTGCCGTCGCCGTCATTGCTTAAGCTCCCATTAGACTTCACCAAGACTGAGAACATATTAGCCTTTTATGTTGGGACTTTTATATAATTATGTACTCTTGACTTCTCTTATTGAACTATTCCACGTAACAACCGACTGTAGTCAAACTGTAGTCATCATCTTGTATCACAAGACCTTCGCAAAATTTTCCATGATTAGATCGGATTTGTCATGAGTTAGATTTTAGGCGACTTCTGTTAACATTGCAGCTCATTTCACACCTCTCAGCGTTCGCTGGATCACATCTCTCCACTACAAGTTAACCATGCATTTCTTATGAGCCAATCGTTAACATTTTGGCCAATTCAAGCCATCGTTCAAACCCTATCCAGATTCTTTTTTCCTTATATCAAAATACAGAAACGTTGACATTTGCTTTTCTGCTAATGTAATATTGACAAGTGAAAAAGTTTTGTTCATTTTTATTTAGTGGTCTCTGGTTAAGCTGGGCGCTACTCAAACGTTTGAAAGAATATAAGAATACTAACTATGCTGGCGTGGCTCCATATTACGGTGATACACGTGTTTCCTGCGCGTCTGATAACACATGGAAATAACTATGTATTCACCGTGAGGTTAATCTCGTGCTAAAAGCACACGCCTATACTCGCCCTAATACTTCTCTTTACTGAAATACCAGATTTTAAAAACACACTAATATTTCTTTTCCAAATGGTAATAGCTCACTGGAAATTTTTCAAAGTTCCTCTCTCTATGATACTGAAATAACATGCACGAGAGTAAAATAACTTAATTGGCGAAAGTCAGTTGGAAAACTTTTCAGTCAATCATGTTCAAACTGTAGAAGTTCATTCACTGATTTAAACGTTCTTACGTAATCAATAATCAAATGGTACAGAAATTTTCTTCTTCAAATCACCTTTGTTCTCTTCAAACAAGCATATCAGAACAACAATAGATAAGAGCAAAAATCTGTATAAAATTTGTTAAACTCGTTTTACGCTAAGCCAGCATCAAATCTCACACACACCAATTATCTTCCTCATTCACTATTAAAATGTTTAGAAATGGTAAAATTTAAATCATTAAGTTGTCATCTGTTGAAAGTTGTGAATATACAAAAAACTGCAACTACTCAACGTGTAGTGTTTGTGCATAATTACAGAAGTTGCCAACTTCTCAAAAATGTATTTTTTCTTACTTAAACATTTTTCTGAAAGCATATTGCTAACTCCCTTTAATTTGCCATTTTTTCTCTGAACATGGCGCAAGTCCTCATTCTACCAAGTTTATTTTCATGAATCTACAGGTTTTTCTATAAGCTCATTCATATTTAAACTCGTACAGTACTGATTCATATTACGATTAGAAATCTTTCAAGTAATTCACTTCGTAAAAAATGTAACGTTCCCATTTTTTCATTTGAATAAAGACACAATTTTATCGAACACAAAAGTAATGAAGTAGTTTTTTGCGTGAGTAAAATCTCTCTGTATTTTTTGTCTGTCTACCATATATAATCCGTTTTAGCGACGCTTGATCGACTGGATAGCAAATTTTAAAGTGAATTAGACCAATCTTTTTCAGATTTTTCTTTCCAATTATTGCGATTCATCACTATTCTCACATTTATAATTGGTTTTATTTTGTGTTTTGTTACTCTATAAATTTCCCTTCTTCTTGCGCTGTGCAATTATTTCACTTGACAATGAATGTCAGTGAATTGAATAGTGAATGAGAAATCTAAATCTAAGCGTTTCAGGTTTGGATCCCCTCGGTTCGACTTTGATTACGTAACAATTGCTCATTTTGTAACAATTGCTCTTTAGTTACATTCCTCGGTTTTTCTTTACTTAATTTTGCTTGTTTTATGGTAGGTATTTTGTCTAATGGTATGTCGATATTAGACGCTTTCTTTTAGAAGCTTTCTGACTGTCAGAAGTAAACAGATCAGTTTATTTTATCAACGGAAATTCTAACCTGGAAATAGACTTTTTTGAAAGCCCGTAGTGCTGGGTCATCAGTCAGTAAAGAAAACATTTTTTCTTTTATTCTTTTCGAGCACCTTAGTAGAGAATTTTCTTCTTTTATGTTGAGAGGGCAAAAACAACAATTTTTTTACCTTTTTTTACCTGGAAAACGTAATAAATGTAGCATCTTTAAAACATTTGAATAGGAATTAATAAGAAAATAAGGATTAATTTCCACATGAAAAAAGTGAAATGCAAGTTACGTACTCTAGCTGCTGTAATAATCTGACGAAGTATCGATTAAGATAGTGAACATTTTGTTCTTAATCAGAAGAAATTATTCACGATTAATTTCTGAGTAATAGCCTCCATTTACAAATTTTCGTTTGATGGCGGATTAGATGTAACTAAAGCATTTCAACATTGGACACTTTCCTTGTCCTGACACAGTTAGTGGTCGTACCTTGTACCAACGTTATAACAGTTTCAAGAAGATATAAGGCTCCAGGAAATCCACTGCTCTGAGGATGAGTACCAATAAAAAATTAGCCAGTTTTTGTTGTGGTAGCAGACCACTGTTCGAATTCAGGGACCTTATACAGACTATTCGGTCAATTTCATGTCATCAGCGTATTTGTGTTGATCCGGAATATTAAAAAAACCGCAAGGAGTCGAAAGTTCAAATGATATTTTGAGACCATGGTGAGAATTCGCCCGTCAGAATTTGCGTGGATTGAACGGAACTATCGTATCGGCCTGCGTATCGGCGACACGAGTTTGAGCCGCGCCCTCAATCTACGAACTATGACCGTTCCACAGTTATGTCAATGATTACAGTGTAACCATTTCATTGGTATTCAGGATCATTTTTTTCACTCGAAAAAGAAAGTTTAATAAAAACAGCTATATACCTACTGATGTCCCTAAAGTCAAGTACTACAGAAAAGTCGTTTTTGTACATATTTAAAAGGTGTTTCATTCAATGAACGATTTAAGGCCATGACGTAGTCCATAACAGATACTATCGGTCTCCTCTTTCCTTTAGGAAGTCATTCACATGAAACCTCTTCCACAGCACTTTCACATGATACTATTCATTTACTTTGTATGTAGTCTGAGTCTAACTTTTGAATCTGTGGATTAAATCTTATGATATGACCATTCAAATGAAACCTCTTAGCAGCACTTTCACATGATACTATATATTAACTTTGTAGTCTGAGTCTAACTTTTGAATCGGTGGATTAAATCTTATGGTATTACCATTCAAATGAAACCTCGTTAACAGTACTTTCACATGAAACTATTTATTTACCTAGTTTAATGTCGGTCTAACTTTTGAGTAGTCTAACGTTTTAGTCTGTGGAGAAAGTTCTATGGTGTGACCATCGTAATGTACTTCCTCGTGGTACTATCAACTGATCTAGTTTGTGATTCTAGAACTATGATCTAAAATCCAATGGAGGCCTATCGAGTTACCAATGGTACTATTAATTTAACAGCATTAAACAAAGCGAAATTTGACACTGATTTTGTTTCAATTCATTCTTTCAGCGTTTGTCACAATGAAGAAGCGAAAGGGTAAAAATCTATGTTCTTGATGACCTATTTGAAATTATGTGTTCCCAAACAAACTTTACTCCGCTTTCAAACCTAACGTCCCTCCAAAAGGCAGGCGAAGTTTTTGTCACTACTTTGATGTATTCTCTGATTGCAATTCTTCTTCGCGTTTGAGTTTTTTTCTCCATTTTTAATCACATTACACGAAAAGTGAATTGAAGTTTTTCTTTCTGCTAGGGTATTTTCTGTAGATACGTGTAATTATGTGACTATAATGACTGAATTTCTCCTTTAAATTCATTTTCTGGCCGTTGACGCTAACTTTTTCAACTGCTATTTTTGCTGCACACACAGGTCTGTAAGGATGTGGAGGAATAGTGAAACCCTGCCCACTAGTTTAGAGTGATTTTACTAAACCCTTGAAACAGTATGTAACAATTAGTGCCAAATAGTTACAAGTAAACAAAAAAAGCAATAAATTTGTATAGATAATAGCATGATTAGTAATGATGTTTGGAATAAATACCACGAGGGATTTTTCGACATTTGTCTACGTACCGGTATACGTTGTGGTTCAGGAGAGAACTTACTTAAATATACGTTTTTCATTGAATCAAACATGTCTGATTTTACTTTATTCCTGATGAGCTCGAATAAGCTTAGCCTACCCACAATTTTCCATACCCTTCAACGTAACAAATGCATTATAAGGAAGCTTAAGCATCAACGACGGCGACAGCCGGGAAAACTTTCCTTAAAGTGAATTCGCGCTGCTTCAAACTTTGTCGCGCTTATTCTATCTTGTTCAATTCGTCAAATGTGGGCGAATTTTTCTGACGTTGAATTCTAAATGAATTCTAAATTCTACTGAAGTTGAATAAAAAAAAGGAAGTCGTTGTCCTGTGTTCACGTCCTCCACAAAACGTGAAATTCGGCACCTTCACGTCGTAGTCGTGCAACAACGGCAAAAAAATGTACAAAAAAACGTGATGCTCTAAACCTATTACATTGTTTTCAGTGCCGTTCTCGTTGCCGTCGCCGTCGTCGTTGTTACTAGGGAGTTTTAGCATCGGCGACAGCGACGGCAGCGAAAACGTCACTTTTAAAACGTCACTTTTTTCGCTTTTATTCCAATTCGCTGAAAATGTCTAAAGTAGGCAAATTTCTCTAGAGTTGATTTCTTGGGGACCGCATTCAAGTTAGGAAAGATAGAGAAAGAAAATTTCGTCGTCGCTTGGTTACGTCCTCCATAAAACGTGAAATTAGGCATTTTCACGTCGTAGTCGTGCAGTGACGGCTAAGAAATGTAAAGAAAAGCGTGATGCACGTGCAAAGTTGTTGTTTTGCTTAATAAACCTATTGCTCTTTTGACGGTCCCGCTACCGTCGCCGTCGTCGTTGCCAAAACTCCCTACTAACAGTTCTCTTGGTCATAGGATACCTCTCTCCTCTTCATAGGCCTCTTTGTGTCGTTGGGTGATTGGGGAGGGAGAAAAACAAAGCGCTCGAGGGACGATAGGAAGGAAAAGCAGTGGTACCGCCTTTCCTCCTTCTCATCGTCCACCCCGCGTTTTGCTATTTTTATTGGAATACCCAGCGGGGGCCTGTGCGGTGGAGAGAGATAAGGTACCGAAAAAAATAGAATTCCCAAGGTCATGTTCTTCTTCGCGTCTGTATTGATCCTGAGTATTTGACTTTATTTTCAAAAACAAGTTTCAAGCTGGGAGGCTAAATAGTCATGCCCAAGTCTATGGTTTTCTGAAGGGACACGTAAAACGACCTAAGAAATCGAAAGAGCCTGTTAAGACCGACAATAGGAATTTTTTTTTCTTATTAGTCCAGAGGAATGAGGCAATTGGAAGGCGATATTCATTCTTCCTGTCACGCGCACACGATTTTCCAAGAAATTTCGCCAAAAAGAGAGGTTCAAAAATTTCAGCGTTAAAGTTAGGAACGAATCGACTGCAATTTTTAATTGTGTGATCTCTTAACGAAGACAAAAATGATGTAAAAATATATGAAAGAACTTGAGAAGGATCTTTTTTAGTCAATGCAATGACAGCTTCAGAAGACTCGTGAAATAAAAGAATTCCAAGTTTCCCAACAGGCGTTGAACCTATGACTTTTTCCGTTACTATCCCAGATATACGATTCTCTACCTTTGAGCTACAAAAGACTTGTGGAAGCCTATACCTTTAAACTACGTTTAAGTGAGAAAAATCCTGCATACTGTGGCTTGATATAGGCTGACATCACGTCCGTAATGAATGTGATACATAATCGATTTTAACCCTTTAATCCCTAAGAAGGATCAGCACAAAATTTCTCCTTGTAATATCAATGCTTTGTGAAACAGAGTGGTCATGAGAATTACGGACATGACCACACAAGATGAATTTGCTTGATATTTTATTAACTTCTCCCCACTACCTCTGCAGGAAATGAATAGGGGCAACAAATGAGAATTCAAATTTTGATCTTAGGGTTTAAAGAGTTAGGTCTAGTGAATATATGAAAGTTCAAACTTTTGCGGTAGAGCCACTCGCCTGCCGGCGGGTCTTGGTTTCATTTGAGCTTTGAGCATTTTGATGTAATTACTATGATGTAAAGTAGTGAAGACGGTGGAAATTACGGTTGTTGTCGATTTGTTAAATGGATAGCAACGATGGAAATAGATACAAGGTCTGGCAGATGTTTTCACTTGTTGTAGATGATTAACTGGCACTACATGGTTATTACCGCGTGAATCACTTGACTCCTGAGTAAGATGGTCGGTCGCACTATGTAGCTTACTAACCTGACAGTAAAATCGGTCCAACAACGAGCACATAACAAGCTTGACCAGAGTAAATTAAGCGCATATTACGAACATACATGATTTCTTTAATTTGTCCGCGCTCGCCTGCGTAACTGGCCGGATTACCGAGCACGAAAATCCCTCGCGGCTCCACCGCCAACAATCTCGCTAGTTACGGAGGCTTTGTTCGCGCCCGCAAGTCTCGCCACGACAACTTGCTGTCCCGACTGACTTAAAAAGACCCGCTAGTAGTCAAAAGTCATATTCAACAAATACGTGAAATCCTTGTATACCAATCAAGTGCTGACTCCCAACCATTATCTCATGACTGACTTTCTTAGTTCTGCCAGTCCAAAGACAGATGTTTATGCTCTAAGAACTAAATAAAATGTTGAAACTTACAGTCAGATTCGACGTCGTGGTCGGGTTGTAAGAAATCAATTGGCCTAAACTATTCCATGGCGCTCCACAACGAATAATTTCTATGATTCGTTTTGCGCACTAGTTTATATGTCACAAAGAGTCGAAAGTTCACATTGGTACTTTCAGTGTCACTTTTTCTGGAATGCAATCGGACTTTGGCCCTCTTCCTGAACACAAAAATGAATCGACAAGATTTAAGGAATTTTGAAGACGCGATTACTATTGTTTGCACATTCACGTTAGATCGAGTTAGAGAAAGAAATCACCTATTAGCGCAAATGATTTGGCAGAATAATTTCAGCGAAAAGAAATCGTTTTTCTTTCGATTCAATCAAAATTGTTAAATTCTGATCTCTTGCCCTTTTTTTTACCATTTCAAATGGGCAGACCGATTTGACTTTTTATACTCAAAGGAGGATTTTCCCAGAAAACTGGCTACCTTGCATCAGAATTTGCCCTGTGGGTAGCAAGATGCATGTCCTGAGCAGATAAACTGAAGTGGGACCTTGGAAGACCAAACAGCATTTTGCCTACAGAGTGGATAATTGTCATTTTTGCTTCATGATCATTCCTTTTCGCAAGCATTGGCACAGTTAGTAAAACTGTAAACGTCGCCCTTTTAGTGGCAAATGGTATGATTCAAAGTTGAACGTCAACAAAAACTTAACTAAGTGAAGGAATTTATTTGAGAGCAAAAAAGAATTTGTTTTACGAACCATTTAACTCAGCTGTTGATATGGAAATGACTTTTCATTCCCATGCAAATAAAACTCATTTTCACGAGAAAAGTTGCGCACTTGGCCTCATTTTGAAAGTGGCGGTTTTTTAGAACTCGGTAGTGGCCTGTTTTGCCAATTCTGGTACACGCCTCTATAACAGACCCATACAGTGGAATTTATATCTTTACCGGGTTCCCGGAGAAAATGTCACCAGGTTGGCTTATTTTCCACTGTTTTATTTTGGTATTTGTGTATCTCCCATAAAAGCTAGAAGGGGTGGAAGGACTTAACATCTTTACCGTTATAAAACCTTTTGAATACCTTTTATATATCTCTCTAGTCTAGCGAGAACTAATATAACTGATTTGTACTTTTATGCAAGATCGATTACCCCGTACCCGGCGATTTTTTTTGTCAATGATAATAATGTTTTACATTTTTGCCTCTTTTAAATAAATATGAATAACGAAATACACTGGTTTTGTAGAAGTCACAAGAGAAAGTGACTGGGGAAGCCAAAAATTAGCCGGGTAGAAACAAGCTATTCACCAGTTATCGGGGAAGCTAAATTATAGACTGAGTTAGAGTGATTTTACCTAACCAGTGAAATGGGTTTTAGACTAATACGAACTATAACTCTCTTTATGCTACTACATGAGAAATTTCTGCAATTTGATTGGCTGAGAGCAATGGTATTTCAGCTTAATTTGAAATACCTGCATGTTAAAATGAGAAACCTTTTGCCGGTAATAGTATAAACAAATAATAACATGATTTGTACGTGATATTTGGCATAAATGCCACTCGTGATATTTCAACATTGTCTCAAATTTCACTCCTCTAACGGCTCGTGAAATTACGTAAAACAATTACGAAATATCACTTGTGGTATTTAATCCAAATATCATTACTAATCATGCTATTACCTATACAAATTTACTGCTTTGTTTTGTTTACTTGTACCTATTTGGCCCTAATTGTTACATATTGTTTCAAGGTTTTCGTAAAATCACTCTAAACCAGTGGGTAGGGTTTCACTGCGTCTGTTACAGAGGGGTGTTCTGGTATATAAACATTTTCTTGGTAAAAGTATGAATAGTATCTGCAGCTCAGGCTCTACTAAACATCTTCACTAAACATAAACGAATTTTTCTGGAGTCGAATTCTTAATGGTTCGTATACAAATTCAGAAAAGGAAAGCTGTAAAGCTCGTCTCATGTTTGAGACCTCCATAAAACCTGAAATTCTGATGAATTTTCACGTGGAAATCGTGCAGTGACGACATAGAAGTGTATAAAACAGGTGATGCAAGTGCATGATTGTTGTTTTGTTAGGGCCTGTTTACATGGAGTGGGGGACCCCGGTCTAGTGGGGTTGGTTTCTTTTGTTTTCACGCTCTGGCGGACACAAAACAAAAGAAACCTACCCCACTAGACCAGGGTCCCCCACTCCATGTAAACAGGGTCTATATCAAACCACAGGTGCACCACCCTGACACCCTCTTTAGTATGGCCGTTGTTGTTTTTGAAATCTTAGCATATCAATCTTCTGCACTTCATTTTTTAGTTGTTATAGAAGTAATACTGATGAAAATTTGCTCCTAAATAGAGGCTTAATTGTGAAGTTTTAATTAATAAAGGCTCAAACGAAATGTTATGTGTCATGTCTTTCGCTGTCCCGAGCTGTTTAATTCGCGACATTTCGTTTAAAACTTTTAACCAGAACAATAGACCTTATTCACGATTTCCGCCATTTTTGCACGCGCTTTAGGATTGATGGGATAAAGGCAATGTCACGTGGCAGGCTTCAGGGGACAAACAAAAGATAAAATTTGCCAATGCGAGAAATCGCGGTCGAGTTTGTTTATTCTCTCAAAACGAAACGGAGATTTAATGGTCATGCAAAATGTACGGTTTGAGTTTCGACAAAATTGACGTCATTATTATTTCTTTCTCTCGGTATATAGTTTTAGCCTAGCGTCCCCGCAGACGTCCTTTGAGGTTCGTTTGTCACGCATTCATTTCTGAATGCGTGACAAACGAACCCCAAAGGACTTCTGCGGGGAGGCTAGTTTCAGCCCTGAGGAAGGCTAAGTTTGTTAGCTGAAATATTGGCCTATAATAAATCAGCCCGTTCCCGTTGTGCCAGCCTTGCATTCAGTTTTGTTTCATTTTACACATCAAGTGACGTCTGGCTACAGCATGTTTTTAATTAGAGAGCAGGCAAGAGGAACCAGTCAGTTTTATATACTCGTTGCGTGGACCTCTGCATTCAAACAGTTTTTCTCAACGTCATTATTGCTTGCTGTTAGGTAGGCCTTTCCCGATTGCGCTCGTAAAATCCTAAAAAAGTGCTGGCAAAAATGTCTAAAAAGTGCTCAGAAAGTGCTCAAAATCTCAAAATAGTGCTCAAAAAGTGCTAAAAGTTGTGAACAGTTACCTCTAAGCTTTTCGTAAATATGTCAATTTTTACTGAAGTAATAGATTTAGAAATTTGAGATGGCACACGCATGATACATCAGCCGATCAGAAACTTCTGTTCTAAACCCTCAGTAAGGATAAGTCCACGTGCCTTTCCATGACAACGGTCTTTTATTCTTGACAACATCATTAGGTATTCAAATTTATGACCTGGAACACGTTTTTGCTTTAAAATGTTTAAGAAAACCAGGAGCCCTCCAAGCGACAACACTCATTTTTCGCGGAAAAAGCTTATCTAAAAATAAACTCACTTGTAAAAACGCAGTTACACGAATTTATTGCAGTTGCACGCTCCGGGTTATGGGCTCCTGGAAAACATATGTTGCTCGAAATTTTCTCAAAATGTGGAATATTGCTCAAATGTTGCCCAAAGTGCGAAAAAGTGCTAAAGGGTGCTCAAAATGCAAAATAGTGCTCCAAACTCAAGAAAGTGCTCAAAAGGTGCTCAGCGCAATCGGGAAAGGCCTACTGTTAGGGCATCTACGGTCGCTACTGCATCCAAAAAAGTAAAAATGATCACTTCCACCCATAATTTGCCTTTATCGCCTTTTAAAAAAAAGTTGTTCCTTTCCTGTTGTCAAGAATAAAAAAACTCGACCGCAGACTGCGAGCAGTCTCTCTTTTGCTCGTGAAAGTGTTTGAGCAGCGAAGTCGTGCCAGTTGCGAGGGCGCGAGTTGCGAAGACGCGAATACGAGTGCCCTCGCAACTCGCGCGACTTCGCTACTCAATTACTCTCGATCTCGCTTACAGATTTTCGAGCAAAGCAGTCTAACTCGACCGCGATTTTGCCCCTGAGAAACCACGTGACATAGCTTTATCCCATCAGTTCTTAAGGGCGTGCAAAGATAGCGGGCATCGCGATTAAGTTTATTACGTTCAAATCTGCATTTAGGAGCATACTGTAGCCGCAGTAGTGTTCATCTGTATTTCTTTTATAAACCACAAACGATCAACGCTCAGATATTGATTTTGATAATAACAACGTCTGCACGAACAGAGGATGGTCTGCCTGGTATTAGACCCATTGCTTTGTCGACGTTCTTTTTGCATTGCGTAAGCTTCCAATTTTTCACTATGAGGGGAAGAGTTTGGTTCCGGTTACGTGTAAGCCACTCGAGTGGGACACAGAGGGTCAACTGCGTGTGAATGCGTGCCGATGGAGAGCAACTTAACACCTTCCTTTTTCGCTGAATCGAGTATACTGATAATCTCGTGGTGGATACACGAATATACTTGCTTACATCCCTCGAGCAACTTATCACGTAGCATATAATTAAGGTAACGTACCATTGCTACGTTTATCTTTTCATTCCAAAGATCAACTTTAATGGAAAATTAAAGGAAAAAGAAATCTCTCCCGAATAACCTCTTTGTAACTAATGTTGCAATTAGGTCTTGTGTTCGGGGAAATTACCACTGCGTTACGTTCAAAGTGCATTGCTTTGTTCTAACATTTCGGAGATTCTTGAAATTAAATCCACCCAAACCTGTTGTTTCAATTTGGATGTATCTTACGACATCTATTAGAAAATTTACGTCCGAGATCATTCCATGAGAAGTTATTTTGATAGTTTCTCATGATCAGCTCTCAAACGTCACAAAATCTTGTTTTTCTCAATAATATGCAACACTGTCTACCCTGGCCCCAGAGGTTTTTCTTGAAATTTTTCTTCGAAAAAGCAAGAGCGAGCCGCATCATTATTTTTAGAAGCACGTTTCACGCTGAGAAGAAACAAACTCGGCTTCCTGAATGCACAGGAAGTCACCCCAAATCAGGTGAACGCGAATCGGAACGTATCTTAAAGCGACTTACTTTAGAGAAAATGGTGCACCTCAAAACCTCCAGGCTAGAAAAATAAGTCGCATGATAGCAATGAGAAATTATAAAATATGTTGCCGAAGTTTTTTGCTGCTGATTCAGAGCTTCGCCATTCGTCTTGGCCTCAGTGTTTAGACCGAACATGAAAGCCTCCGGAGTGAACCCTGCCCTTACCCCCTAAGGCATCAAATCTACTTACGTGGAAAAAGCGGGTTTCGGAAACTCTGCGGATCGCGTCGGTTTTCGTCGAGGTCGAACCCCGAAAAAAAAAATCTTCGCGCCTCAACAGCTCACGGCCGGCACAATAAATATTCTTCCTCACTCACTTTCAGATCGCTTTGCAACAATCAGCCTTTTATATACAATTTTGAAAAGTCGAAAGTTCAAACTGATACTTTGTTTCTCAGTCGAGAACGCTGTCGGACTTTGTTACTGTTGCACGAAGAGAACAATGGAAGGAGAAAACAGAAAGAAGTTCAGGAGCGTGCTTTTTGACAGTCTTTGAAGATTATGTTTAATATCCCCTTGAATGAATGATGTCAAAATGTTTCGCTTCGCCAAGCAAAACAGTTAAATGAATCAGCAAATATTTGCTGCCAACTATTGTAAGGACGGGAAAGTTTCAAAATAATCCCTCTTGTTTTATGAAAAAACTTAAACAGCCTTTTTTTCGATAATGTTTTTGCTAATGACAATGTTTAACTGAGAGGATATAGACATGATCTTCTAGAGCCACATCCGGATGAGCGTGAATAATGGTTATTTTTGGATGTACATTGCATGCATCTTTTGGTCAGAACAATTGCGAACAAGGTAAAAGCAACATCTGGAAAATACGTCTTTTCGCCAATGGTGTACAAAAAACTTAATTGGGGTAACGTGAAATTCTTCCCAGACTACGGACGCCATCAACAGTTATGTGACTAGACGGAGGTCAATTATGTACAAATATACATTTACCGACTAATTTGAAGAGATAGGAAATAAATATGTCTAATGTAACAAAAACGCATTTGCCATCAGACACATTCAGACGCAAAAGAACTAAACAAAGAAAAATAATACAATGGAACTCACCTCTTTATTGCCTCTTTCCTTGAAAATCCTTTTCTTGTGCAGCTGTACAAGCTTTGTCATTCACAAGGCAACGCAACGAAAGATACTACAAAGTATCCACATCAAATTGTTCAGCAAGATAATAACACCCTCTCAAGGTATCTGTACTTTTGTAGTGAAAGGATAGAATAGCTAATATCATATATGGTCCCTTTCGTGTGTCATGCCGTAGTAGCGCGAGTTGGGTGAGAGTCACGAGTTCGACCAATAAGGTGCTTATTCGATATCTCGTGTACGTCCTTTCAGCTCATTTTCCGGATTTTCTTGGTTCAAAGGAACCGCAGGTTTTAAATATTAACCTGTTTTCGACAAATGTTAACTTTTACTTCTAATATTTGGCTTGTTTTTGGTAAATGCCAGGGCTAAAAATTTTCATTTTCCTTAGACATCTCTTTGGAGTTCTTTAAAAAGAACAAACGACAAACTGTCACGTGAACTCAATTCTAAAACCGAATGGAGCGGCAGACGCTAGAAAAATAAACCAAACCCTGTAGTCAGGGAAGAAAAAAGAGAAACAAAACAAAACAAACAAACAAAGGTGAGATCATTTTTTCTGAAAAAAAATATTAAGTTGAGAACTCAAATCGATCCGAACAATCAGCTACAATTCGGCATTATTACGTGTCATGATCACATCGCTGAAAATTCATTCATTCATTCATTCATTCGCCGCACGTCTGATCCACCATTTACAATTTTGTGAAAATAAAGAGAAATGATTGTTCTTGTTTAAATATATCAGTGTAAGATAGAGAATATAAATTCCCCAACTGGTATAACGAGGTGCTTATTGGAAAACATTACCCAGCTGCTTTCATTTGGGATTAAAATTGAGGTTCCATGACTTTTCTGAGTGCTGAGGGTAAGAAAACGTGTTAGAGCTCTTTTGCTTTTTTACCTGAAAGTCTTTGCCCATCCTCAGGGCTCAAACCTCGAAATTAGAATATGGCTAAAGATATTACTGTCAGTAAGAAATGTTGAATAGCTTTCATTTGAAGTCGGCTCTAGAAGTAGAGCAGAATATATAGCCGACCAAAGGTCCACAGAAAAGCATCCGCTAGCCAAATTTAAGAAGGTTATACACCTGCATGACGAAATTTTACCCGAGCTCCACGTAAGTGTCACAAGCCTTCAATAAAAGCTTGTGAAACCAAACCTAAAGTGGTGGGATCCTTCTAGACGTAAACACTCTATGCTCAGGCAGTTTAATTTCGTACGCGTGAATCGGGAGTTCGATGCGACGAACGGCTGATGCGTTGTAACTTTGACGGAGATTTCATCATCATTTCGATGACGAAATAAAGTAAGCGAAAATAAAAAAGGTATGGCCTACAGTGACTATTTTCTTATTTCTGTAGTTAGTGTGTTTACCTCTTTTGCTGTAACCAGAAATAAAACGTGCACTTAAAAGCACTTGACACTTGTTTTTATATAACACGCAGGTTTGAACACGAATGAAACGTTGCGACTTTATCCCTAGCTCTCACCTCTCCCCCGGCGCATGTGGTGACAAAGGGGGGCGATTCAGCGATTTGCGCCTAGTATAGATGAACGATGTTTGTAAGACGAGAAATTCTTGCATTTTCGCCGTTTCTTTTCATTCCTTTTTCAGTGACGCAAACATTGATGTGCGAGCTTCCAGTGGGATGAGAGAAATGGTGGGCTAGTGAACCATACCCGGAAGATAGTTTCACAATGCCATACCCGTTAGTATGGAGAGTCACACATCTCATTGACCTTTTTTATGGGCGAGAATCCATCTGGATCTACGCCTATATCGGGCTCCTCCTTTCTCGAGTAAAACTGTGGACGGTTATACATGAGTTTATGTTTAGAACCCGTCGCAGTACTACAGCAAGCCGAGTGTCGTGAGGGGTAAAAACTATGTATGGTACATGTCTTGGCATATATTATTGTGAGATTTGTCGTGAATAATTTGAATGAAAGAATTCTTAATCCTAAAATACTCCTCTTTTCAAAAAAATGCATACAGACGTGTTGTTTCAGTTTGTGAAAGATTAATGATGGCGGGGACGCGGAGGTCGATTGTGACAAGGCATAAATGGAATGCATTTTGACCGCTCCGAAAAAGTTATGTTCTGAAACTTTGGGTGGATAAAAATTTGTTTTATTTCTTTACTTTTTCTGTTTTCATGGTTATGACTAACCTTTCCAATATGCCATTGGAAAGGTGACAAGGACGTGATAATAATATATTTTTGGTGCTATTTTAAAGAAAATCTTCTTAGCGCTCAAGATTTTTTGCTGAGTTGCTAAAGTAACCAAACAAATAAATTCATCTAGATTTTAAAGCTGAGTAATTTGACAAAAATCACTTTGTCTTATTTTTACCCAACTTCTGTTCACGTGGAAAACTCGTGCCACTTAAAAAAAAAAACGCGCAATGAACACGACGATCACCAAAGTGAAAAAAACAAAGCCCCATCTAGTTTTAATTGGAACACATTCAACATTTTCCACGAAAATACTTGCACTCGATTTGTAGAAACACGTATTTACATTAGCTCCTTGGTTTCTTAGCAACAGGCTAACAGCTTGCACGCAGGCTGCGTCAAAAGTAGGAGCACGTGCAGGTCATGGGGCTTTTAAGAGAAGCTAACTGACACGCCACGCCAATTGTTAAGGGGGCTACGTAACCCTGTTTTCTATGATTTAAAACGCCAAAACTTTTTCGTAAAATAATGGTCCAGTTTTGTTATTTTCCTGTTGCAACGAATGACAAGGATGGACATACCCTTCGAGCAGAGGCCATTGTCCTCGCAGGGTAGGATTTACACGGGTTGGAACTTGAAAAAGTTGGGTCAACTTATATTTTCAAGTTTTAATACTATGCCTTTTAAAGTTAACCAAAGAATAAGATGGCTAGCGCTCCCTGATGCAATTTGTTCGATATCTTTTTCGTAACTTTCAACAGGAGCTTTTTGCGCATGATTTCCGCTCAGAATGGACCTAAAACAGTAATATCCCCTGGACATATAGCCCCACGATGTTATTGTATTAAATCACAACAAGTTTGCGTAAATATTATGTCAATTTTTTTAAAAGGATCAATTTTCTGTGTTGAAGCAAACATTGCTGTAGAAAATGCAGCGCAAGAAGGAGAAAACCTAATGAAGTAAGTCCAAATGGAATGAAAATTAAAATCGAATGAAACGAGGATAAATGAAAATCGATTTAGCGAAATGCTTCTTGCCACAGGGGCTAGTACTTAATCACGTCAATAAAAAGGACATTTCTCTCTTGTCTAAACTTGCTTGTTAGCTTTCTTTTTCTTTGGCGCTACGACCAAAGCGATTTTCAAGCGAACTCATGCTCTCTATGGCTGCACAGAATAGTTTCAGACGAAAATTTTGATAGTAAGTAGAAACATAGCTGATCCTTACGGCAGGGAAATTTAGAGAATAAAAATATATAAAAATCATATGGAAAATTTTGGATGCTGTGTTAGAAAAAGTTCGCGTTTATAAACTGCTCTCCGCAGGCTCTCAACACATTTTAAAAAAAAGGCAAATTCGACTGAGAAAAACAACGAATATAAAGACAATAAAAGTTATCCTCCGTAATAAATTGCTGAAGTAAGAAAGCTGCGAAGGCCGTTTTCTGAAGTCATCTCCATGTCAAGACAAAGAATGGGATTGAAAACCACTCGGTTAAGCTGACATTATATCAGTGATAATATTCTGACTCAGGTCTGTTTAGCTGAAATCTATCTTTTTGAACTTAACAGCTCACGTGTATTTCTTATGACTTGTTGGAAACGACAAATAAACAAGTTGGTGGTCGGATTGCTGAAAACATGCGCATAAACGGCACCATCACCTTCTTTTGTGCCACGTCATGTACAGGATATGAATAATCGCGTACTTAGTGCGAAATTAGTCCTCACAGGAAGGAAGGTTTGAAAAGGGGGCGGGGGGAAGGTTAGGGTTAGGGTTTGGGGGGGGGGGGGGCCTGTTCTAGGCTTCCCGGTCCTTTTTCAGTACAATCCCGTATACCGAACTTCTGTCCTCTCTAGCTACCCCCAATATTGTTTGCTTCCCCATTACCGTATCCCCACCAGACTATCGCCCTCGCCACATTTTTTTGGCCGTCTTCATGCGTGTGATGGAAATGAGCGGGTGCAGAGAGGGAAATAAGCCCCAAGGGGGGGGGGGGTGGGAAGGGGGTGTGGGGGGAAGTTTCGGTTTGGGGTGGGGGGGGGGGGGGGTCCTGTTCTAGCATTCCCGCTCCTTTTTCAGTACAATCCCGTATACCGAACTTCTGTCATCTCTAGCTACCCCGAATATTGTTTGCTTCCCCATTACCGTATCCCGTACCAAGATGTTGGCGAATCCCGCTTTCTAACTGAGCGCTCAAGAAAAACTTCAAGAAATTTTTAGTTTTCCCGAGTCCTGCACTGAATTTTGGTCAAATCCCGGATCCCGAGAATACTTTTCCAGACCAGGAACCATCCTCATTTCGTACCCAGATCTCACTCGGTCTTTTACGAGATTAGCGGCACCCCAGTAGGAATAAACCAGTCCACGTTTTTTTTTTTCAACTTCGGACTGGGTACCAGTTACCGAAAATCCGTTTTGCCAGAGATTATCTAATCATGTGCAT